ACCTGGTCCCCCCTTTTTTTTCCAAATGATTTTGAGTTTTGTTCCACGTTGTTCTCCCTCTCTATCCAGGATCTCCTACATAGTCCCCCCTCCAAGTGGTTGACAGTGGTAGCCAGGCAGCATCTAGTTCTTCTGGTCTCATAGTTGTATAGGCTACGGATTGCATGGTGTACCAGTTGTGGGGCTAATTGGTTCCATGAATCTTTGGTTTTCTTCATTCTCTTTGCTCTGGATGAGGAGAGACCCATCATTGCATTTAGATGGCTGCTTGCAAGCTTTTAAGATCTCAGTCACTACTCACCAAAGTAGGAGGTGGAACAATGTTTTGTGTAGTACATTATGTCAATCGAGCTTGATGTCCCCTGCGACTATGGTCCCGAGCCCACAGGTTCAACTACTCACTCCCTCTGCCAGCACTATTTGTTAAAGAGACTGTTTCTTCCCCCATTGAATGGACTTTGACCCTTTCTTTAAGATCAGTTGCCCATAGATGGATGGATTTATTCCTGGGATTGCAATCCTATTCTGTTGGTTATGTGTCTGTCATTGTAACAGTACCAGGCTATTTGGACTACTGTGGCTGTGTAGTTTTGAGATTGGGAAATGAGAGGCCTGCTACTTTGCTGTTCTTCTTCAATATTGCTTTACCTATTTGGGCCTCCTTCCTTGCCATATAAAGTTGGAGATTAGTTTTTCCAATCCATTAAAGAATGCTATGGGATTTGGATTGGGATTGCATTATATCTATAGACTGCTTTTAGTAGTGCTGACAGTTTTACACATTAAGCCTTTCAATCCATGAGCATGGAATATTTTTTTTCCATTTCTGTAAATCTCTTTTAGTTTCTTGCAGTAGTGTTTTATAGTTTTCCTTGTGTAAGTCTTTTATGTCCCTAGGTAGGTTTATTGCTAGGTATTTTATCCTTTAGGGGGCTATTGTAAATGGTATGGATTTCTCAATTTCCTTTTCAGAGTCCTCCTTGTTCATGTATAGGGAAACCAACTGATTTTTGTGCGTTGATCTTGTACTGTG